GGGGGGCATGGGGGGTGCAGGCAGGCGCATTGCCCTGGGTCTGGGGTTGGGGGGGTGCAGAGATGTGCCCGGGTGGGGCTTTCCCCTTTGCAGCCCTCCCAGGGGTGTTAGTGCCCCGGGGTCTCTTAGGGGACTGGTTTGCATCTTTTCTTTTAATTGATTCCCCTTCTCTAAAGGGGACCAGAAAGTGGCAGCAGCAGGGGCTGCTCTGGCCTGGAGTGATGCCAACCATTACGTCACCAGCTAGAGCCTCTTCTGCTATTGTTGCTGCGCTCCCTCCTTCTCTCCATCTCTCCGCTCCGCCGTGAACTGAGCTTGTTGTTCTGCAGCTCGTTGTCAGACAAAAACCCTGAGATTCCCTCTGCCTCCCCACACAACAGCCTGGGGCTGGAGTGCTGGGCCCCTTCCTAGCACAATGATCGCTACTGGGACAGTGCGGAGCTGCTTGTTATTGTCGCTGAGCTGTATTCCTCCTTTTCTGGGTTTCCCATCACTTGTGTTGTGATTTTTATCCTCCTGTCTCTAGTCCTTTCACTTGTCTTTATCTTTTAAAGCCTTGGCTCTCCCCTTCCCTTCCTCCCCTGAATATTTTGTTTCTGCTCCAGTTTCTCGTGAGCAGCCCTTTGCTTGCCTGCCTTCCAGTTTGGTGACTTGTTTCATAAATAGGCAGCACTTTCCTTCCAGCTTTGTTGTTGTTGTTCAGATTCTTTGCTCTGCAGCTCTCAGCTGTTTGCCAGCCTCACAAAGGAATCGCTAACACACAGCGAAATCGCTCCATCGCTCCGATGTGTCACCGATGGGAGTTATGATTTCATTTTCCCGAGGACATCAACATTCACATGATAATGTGAGGCTTGGAGCAATCAGGTCGTTCAGCTGTTTTGGGTCATCCCCCTCTGACACAAACACCTGGAAGCTGGGGTAAACTGCCCGTTGCACAAGCTGGTGGTGTTAGGTACGCTGCCGATCGAGTGGCAGCAAAATAACAAATGGTGCATAGTGTGCATAATCCATCTTGTCTGTTAAAGGGAGCCTGACCTACCAATTGCTCCAACTAGTAGGTGTTTGTGTGTTCCTTGAATGGCAATCTGAGGAAGGGATCCCACGTTCTGGTGCCACAAAGTGGCTGGATTTGTTTTCCTCCAAGTCACCGGACTTGAGAGCAGATTTGCCTCTTTGCAGGCTTGTTAAAAGGCTCCTTTAAAGAACGGCAAAGTAAATTCAAATAGGTTCTCAGGCTTCCCTTCCTCCCACGGTACCTGTTTTTCAGTGGACTCTGGCTGAATATACCCCATTTCTTTCTCCTTGAAGACCTGGAGCCAAGGGAAATCCTGTCTGAGGAAATAAGAGCTCAGAATCTAGAGTGGGGAAGGATAAAATGACTTATTAAAATGGGTATGCATGCTTAGTTACAGAGAGTCCGATGCTTGGCTGTCCCAAGCAGAATGGGTGTCCAGCGCTTCAGGGTGTTTGTGGGTGATCCCACAGTGGTGGTAGGTGGTGAAGCCTGCGGCTTCTCCAGAGCCTTGGAGAGAGTGTGGCTAGATGGACTGAAAGCCTTTGGTGCTTTTTTGGCTTCCATTTTAACAAAAGAAGTGATGCTGAGTAGCGATATTTGGCCTCCTCTGCTTGGAAAACAGGCTGATAAAACTAGCCCACCCTTGACAGAAGGGTGCCATGTGCTGGTAGCTAACTGAGGTGGGCCTGGCTTGGCTGTGTTGGGTGCTGCTCTTAAAACACAGGAGGAGTTGTATTAAGGGGGCTTAGGGTGTAATTAAACAAGAACTATCACTACCTGGAGGAAGGAGAGAAGCTATGGTGGAGCCACAGCAGTTTAGCTGAAGTGGCTCAAGATCTAGAGATAACTGGTGTGTTTACTGGTGTGACTTCAAGCAGAACCTGCTGTGGAAGGCCCATCCGTTCCTGGGTGTTAAGGGCCAGTTGGTAGCAACCTGTAGAAGGGCATAGGGCTTCTGCCACTCTGGGGGTGCTGTCCTGGTCTGAGATGTCCTCAGATAAAAGCAGAGGCTGCTTCTGTGCTGAAGGCCTGGCTAATTGTCTTTGTACACAGTGCCTCCTTTGTGGAGATGCTGGAGAAATAGCATCTGTCTAAGCAGTGGAAGAAAATGTGGCCTGTGCTATGTTATTTGAGCTAATCTTGCTTGATTTACGGAGCTCCTCAGGCTATGTACAAGCTGAGGATGAAATGGTGCTGGGTGGGGGAAGAGGTCCAGGAAACAACAAATACCCATGGACAGCTAGCATTATTTTACACTCCAGGCTCTTCTGGGACTGAAATTAAAACTCATGAAACCGCTTAGTGTTCCCCCTTTCTGTGGGGAGAGGCTGTCCTCTTCTTATCCCCTCTTGGCCCCTGAGATTCCCGAGGGGCCGTGGAGACCTGCCAAAATGCGTGTGGGATGCTTATTTGGTGGTGACAGTTTTTTTCTCACTGCCTTATTTCCACCTGGAACATCAAAAGGTGTAATGCCTTTTGCCTGGGAGCATCTCTTCCTCTCTGCTTCAGCTTGTCACAGAATGAGTGCCTTTCCAGGAAATCTGGAGTTCGCAGCACATCAGGTCAGAATTTCTCAGATCCCCTTCCAGTCCTGCCTCAAACGGGCAGAACAATGGCTCGGATATCCCACCCAGGGTGCTTCTCTGCCTTGCTTTTGGAATAGCTCCTCTGCAGCCGGCTAGACATCTGCTTGAGTAATGCTACCTTTCCCAAGAGTCTGGCAGTTCCTGCTTTCCCCCAGGTCATTGTCAGAAGCACACTACATGGAAATGGAGCTACAACAGCCTCCATCTTGACCCTTTCAAAGACCTTCTTGAGCACTTGGCATCTTTGCCTCACTTGGGAGTCAGCAACTGTGTGCAAGAATGAGTAAGGCCTTCTGCTGGAGTGGTGAGGCTGCTCTGCCAGACTGGCGTGGCCATGACCCTTCACCTGTCTGGGTTTCTTTAAGTGCTCCATCTGATGGGATGACATCAGCCTCTTTCATCCCTCGCTGCTCTAATTGCACTGGAGCAGACACGCATGGAAAGAGCATCCAGCCTGGGAGCCGTTTGTCCTTGCTGTCCTGTATCTTCCTGCCTTCTCAGATGGAAAACCGGCAAAGCCTCCATCCCTTCTTGCACTCTTCCACCTTCCTTGCCTAGCAGACACCTAGCACGTGCCCCCTGCCGCAGCGGGGCAGCTGGTAAGGGGTCACTTAAACTCAAAACTGCTCCATCCCGTAGCTGATGATTCCCGTGGCCCCCATGGTTCCTGAATAAACAGGTGGCTGTGCCAGCAACCAGCTCTTCTAGGAAATCAGGGTATGTGCAGGTTGCACCCTGTGCTCATGATAGCATAGGATGATCTCCGTGTTAGTGGGGATGGTGAGAGATCCTCCTCACAGACAGCTCCAGCTCTTCCTCGGAGTGGTGGGTGGGGGCTTGAACACTTGTTATGGGGTGTAGTCCCAAAATAGTCTGTGCTCTGCTCCGATGCTCGCTGCTGGATGACTGTGGCAAGAGAAGGAATCTAAACTGTCTGTGGATGCTCTTGCAACTGAGTGAGGGCTGTGTTCATGTCAAGGCAGGACATGGTTGTGTCTTGTATCTGGAAAGCCCAAACTCATGATTTCTTTATGGAGCAAAAGAGACTGATTCCATCAGACAGACAATGCCATTTCTGGCTCTCCTGGATCTCAGATCTGTTGTGAATGGCTGTACCAAAACCAGGCTGAAGTGCTGTCTGAGGCTCAGTGTCAGGGCGAAGGTCCTGGCTCATACAGGTACTGAAGGTGGTCCTTAGAGCCATCTGTGGGATATGGTGCCTTGTCACTTGTCATCTTCTCTTAGCAGCTGTGACACCTCCAGTACACCTTCTGAGGATGAGTGTGTTTCTTAAACAATGCTCTGAGAACATACCCTTAGCAACTTCACTTTCTGGGCTCGGTGATGTGAGCAGGGTATTCAATTTTGTGAAATATATCCACTCTCGTCACAAAAAAGCCTCCAGCATCACAGGGGACTTTGAGGTCTGTAGCTCTTCTTGGCCTCGCCTTTCTCCCAAGTCTGTGGTTGATACAAAGTGCTCAAAGGTCTTGTGGCTCCAGAAAGACAGCTGAGTATTGCTGAAATGTTATAAAAGGCTTGCTTAGGAGTAAATGTTCTCAGTCCTGCTGCTCTGGGCTAGCAGAGACCTCCATTCCTTGTTTTCAGCAGGCAGCTGTGTGACTTCTGGGGCTGGCCTCTCAGCTAGGAACTGTTCAGTTTGCAAGGGTTGCTACTAGCAACTTGGCGTAATGCACCTGTTTGAGGGCAGGGGTCTGTAATTCCTATTTTTATGAAGAATAGGACTACCCCCAAGCGCTCTGCACTGGCTTCTTCACAGCAGAACCCTCTACAGCAGCTGTCCTTGGGCTTTGAAAGCATCAGAGCTAGGCCAGTGCTGGAAGGCTTGCAAGATTGTCTCAAGGATAGGAACCCAAAGGTGCATTGCGAACACCGCTGGTGTCACCTACTGACCCAGCCCCTGTGAAGAAAAAGCAACCTTCAGATGGCTTATCATGTCTTAATAACTGAAACCACTGTAAAGTGAGTGATGCCTGTTCTTTTCCTGAAGTTATAGGAGTAAATAGCTGGGGGCTAATAAAAGTGTAAGGCTGGTGCCGTGGTCTCACTCTGCGTTTAGTGGCAGCAGTCCAAGCGGGAGTCTCAGGTTGCCATTGCACTCTTAACCCTGAGACAACTTTGTGTGCCTTGGTCCCCAGGGCTCAGGGATATAGGGGAGAGCCTTGGGAGACCGTCTTGCGCAGGGCTACTGCAGCTGTGGAAGCCAGCATCTTCTTTCTGCTAGCCAGTGGCATTTCCCTGCTCAGCTGAGGGGCTGTTCTCACCCAGGGTGATCGGCTGGAATACAAGCCAGGGACTCTTGCTTGCCTTGCTGTTCAGAGGCTGCAGGTATGGGCTGCTCTTCTGGGAGTCAGCAGAAGCACAAATATCTCGGATGGATTTCCATGCTGTGTGAATGGGTGCTGAACCAAGAGGTTTCCCAGCTGGATGTCCTTGATGGCTGTTTTGATGCTCCCAAAGTGCTCAAATGTAGCCTACAGGCAAACTAAGGACAGAGGAGGGGATTCAGGGATTTTTCTGTTTTGAAGTCACCACCTGGTCCTTCCAAGGCCCAGGTTTCCTGCAACTCAGATGACCTTTGGGGCTCAGAGTGGGTTATGCCTCACTTCTGTACTTCTCTGGGCTGGTGTAGGCTGGGACACGAGGGTAGAGGGCTTCAGAGACTGCTCGTAGTACTGTGCCCCTCAGCCTTGGGGGCTGGATACCTCCCTCTGCTGAAGTACTGTGTCTTGTTCCCCCCTAAGTGCTCCTTGAGTTCATCTTCCCTCAAACTGGGGTTGAGGAGCCAGAGAGTGAAACTGGCTCTCAGAACAGGGTTGCTGAAGCTGTCTGATGCCCTGCAGGAGGGCTTTCCAATGCTTGAAACTACTACAATAGATCAGACAGCCCTCAAATCCTGAAACGTCTCTGGAAAGCCTGGTTTCTGATGCTTCAGAGTGCCATTGCTACCTCAGTGCTGACTGGAAGGCAGGAGCCAAGAAATCCCATCAGAAAAAAAGCTGACTAAGGGTGCCTTGTAAGAGATGAGTGATCCCTTGCTGCAGCCACAGCCTGGGAGCTGAGAGGGAGGACTCCTTGCAGAAGCAGTGAAACTAAACCTCCACACCTGTGCAGTGATCCCACAGTGGTCTTGTGCTGACCACAGGTACGTGTCTGCTGGATCTGGCTGGATGGCTCTCTACCTCTTCCCAACTTCCTTCAAAGTCTCTAGTCAGGACACGAGCTTTGTCTGAGATGGAATGTGACCTTCAGCTCTGGGATCCTTCCTGGTGAGGTCTGTAGCAGGATCTGCATTTCTCCCAGGACAAAACCCAGTTCCTGCCATGGCTGTGCTGAATCAGTGTGTGACAAGTGAGCTCTGTGTAGCTCTTCCTGCATGCTGCTTTCCTGCTCCTTGTCCTGACCGTGTGTCAGCACCCTTTACCTGTCCCCTTGCAGCAGGATTGCTGTGTTCCCATCTGAGCTGGGACTTGGGAGTGTGTCCGTACCTTCCTAAACTGTCCATATTTCCTGAGGCTAGGAGTCCTGCCCCGTATGCTGCAGCAGGAGCCACCCTCCAGCCCAAAGGGATGTGGAGGCTTGTCTGCCATATCGGGAAGAGTGCTGTGGGACTGCCTGAGTGTGAGCTGACGGTTCTTCTCCAGCCTTCCCAGCCCAAATGGCTGGGGCTGCAGGCATGGCTGTGGTCCCCTGCAGTCTGAGGAGAGGCTTGTGAGCCTTTGCTTTGAAGCACTGGTCCTTCTTGTGCAACTTTCAGCTTGAGTCTCCTGATTCCTTGGTGAGGAGATTCACAGAACCCAGATCCACTCTCGGATAGAGTGCATGTTTCTTCAAGGAGTGAAACAGTCTGTGAATAGCTGTCATCTAATATGTTTGTCAAGTGTGCCATGCAACTTGGTAGGCTGTGCCTTCTGCCTCTGGAGGACTTCCTACCATCTCAGAGCTACTTTTCAGGTGTATTTGGCCTACAAACACCTTTAGGGTGGAGGAGCTGTGAGCTCCAAATGCTTGTTACAGCCTGCAGGTCCATAATCCAATACCAGAGGGCTATTTCAGATCAGCTGTTTGTCTTGCTAAAGCACAGCAGCTGAAGTGGCCTTCTCAACAGGGAAATCAAGCATGACTGAGGTCCTAAAATATGCAGCACAGAACACTGGGCAAAGTAGATGTATTTTTGAATGTTCTTACTGACTACCGAGTGCTGAACTCCCTGCTTTTCTTGCAGTCCTTAGGTGTGGTGTTATTAAAGCCCTTGTCACATATGGGATATTAAATGTTTATAAGGACATGGTTTAGTGGTGGACTTGGCAGCGTTAGGTTTATGGTTGGACTCGATGATCTTAAAGGTCTTTTCCAACCTAAATGATTCTGTGCCTATTGGACACCTCCATTTGGGCTTGGCTCTTGCAGGAAAAAGAACACCAGTCTGTCTTGTAGGTGGGTCCAGTGCAAGACTTGGTGCTAATAGAGTCCTTCAAGATGTCCAGCTGGCTGCTGGCTCCCCTGTTGTATAGATCTTTAAGCTTAAAGGAGAACTGTGGGTCATGTTAAGTAATGCTGCGCAAATCTTTCCCCTAGGTCATATTCAAAGTGAAATGTGCAGCTGAATTCAACAAGTACAAGTAAGTGACACTTTTCTAACGTTACCTTCAAAGCTGGCTTGAGGTGAACTCACGCTGCAGTGCTAGGAACGGGAGCTTCAGCCCCCAAAGACCGAACAGAGCCGATGCAGTACCTGGCTGTGCTCTGACAGAGAATCAGTCTTGTGCCTTGGAGCAGGACTGGGAGCTCCAAGGGTACCAAGGAAGCTAAAGCATATGCTGCATGCCTCCATACGTGTCATCAGTGTCCCAGTACCAGTGCTGCTAATGAACTAGATGAACTCTTGAGGTCATTCTGAGCTGTCCCACCCCAAAAAGATCTGCAGGATAAGGCTTGAGCAATAGGTGGGACCTGTGTTTGTGCAGCCCAGGTGCTTGCTAGCCATTTCCAGGGAAACCCACGATGGAAAATGCAAGCTCCAGTGGCTTTCGATAAAGAAGTTGCAGTGGCTGTGATGACTCATAGCTTATTGACTGGAGTTAATGCAGAGCTAGAGCAACACTTAAAATCTGCAAGATAAGAACCTGACTGTCAGAAGATGAGTCTTGTAACTCATGACTACTTACTCTGCTCATGCATTATGAGAGCAGCTCAAACAAATACTCTGCAGGCTTGGGCTGCCAATACAACCACTGAAACTTGCTGGAATGTCTGATCTTCACAGCAAGCGGAGCACTGGGCATGTTGGGAGGCCCTCTTGCCTGATGAGACAGGAGGGTGGTGGAGAATGACCCCAGAATTGTCTGATTGAACTCCATATTTTTTTTTCCCCCTCACCATCTCTCCAGGGTCCTGTTGTATCTGGGCTCCATATTTACCAGCCTCCTCTTCTTAGTTGTGAACTTAACTTGTGCAATGTTAATCCATGGTGAGGTCCCGGAGAACCAGCTGAGGTGGACAGTCCTTGCCCGCGCCCTGGTCAACGACAGCCTCTTCATCCTCTGTGCCATCTCGCTGGCTTGCTGCATGTGCAAACTGGGAAAGATGTCTTCAGCGAATGTCTACCTCGAGTCTAAGGTAAGTGAATGCCTTGTCAGCTACGCTGGAACTGCACAATCCTCAGCTGGATTCTCAGCTGGATCTGTGCGTGCTTCCTCAGAGCAATGCTGGCCTGGTGGCACCTGAGCTACCCTTGCTCCAATATTCCTTCCAACGTGGAGGTGGCAGCTCTTGGACTCCTCCCTCCAGAAAGTGCATGCTCCTGCTGTGGGAATGAAGTGCCCTGCATGTTTCAGGGGAATACATTTTCTGCAGCTTTGCTGGTGCGACAGGAGACTTACGAGCTGCTTATGTTTTTCAGGTTTAGAAGTATAATTTAGGGTTTGACTGGAAGAGAGGGGTCTCTAAGTAGCAGGCGCCGTTTCTGCAGTATATTGTCACTAAGGGCAGTAAAGTCTGCAGCATATTGTTATCTCTGGCAGATGCCTAACAATTCTCTGCAAAGGGGATCCCTCCAGCAGTCCAGCTTTAGCTGCCTGCTTGCTTGAGCCAGAGGCAGTGCTCGCCTGTCCTGGATGAGATGAGCATCTTAGAAGGGGAGGAGAAGTTGCTGTAGGTCCTGCCCCAAGGCAAAACGACCCGCGAGGGTCAGAACCTACACAACTCTTCTCAAGCAGGTAGGAAAGTGGATAAGCCACCAGCAATCTCATCTTAGTGTGGCAGTAGGCTGCAATTAGGTGTGCGCTTGAACTGCCTCCTCTTCCTCTGGGAAGCCATATCACCCCTATCAAAGGCAGTGACTCCAGGGTGGGGACCTGGCCTGTTGAGATGGGCAGACAGCAGTCTCTTGATGAACCTGAAAGCATCTATAGGAAAAACTTGAGTGTGGGAGCATAGTCAGGCTCAGAGAAGCCAGCTGTCTGGCTCTGGTACTCTTGAGCTGCTGTCTTTTCCCAGTAGTACAGCTCCTCACCCCATATGCTCTCAATCGCCTCTTTCCAGGTGTCAAAGGTGGGGCTCTGACCTCCTGGACCTTATTTCCAATGTGCCCTCAATCAGGTGGATCTACATGGGCTTAAAGCACTGCCACACCTGGCTCAGGTGAGAGGCTGCCTGGAGTGTAGAGCTCCTGGAGGCAGCTGGATGGCTCTGTCCCCCCTCAGGAGGAGGATGAAGAGGGTGACAAGCCACCTTGCAGCCGACACTGCTACAAAAACATTCTGGATCCAGACAACTGCCTTGCCTTGGCTGGAGGCATCTCCTTGCTCCTTAGCAGGCCATCTGCATGGCCACGAGTGGCTGCAGTCCACTGCCGCTTCTGCTAGAGAGGGCAGCCAGAGCTTGCTCTCAAGGTTGAAGCTGAGGTTTTTCTGGAGGAGAAGTCTGGCTCTCTTAAGCAGCAGAGAGCATCGGTGGTTGCCCAGAATCCAGGGTGTGTGGGCCATAGGCAGCTGGGAGTGGCTGCCTAGCTGGATCTTGTGATGGCTGTCTGCAGAGGCTGCAGGTTGCAGCCGGGTGATCTGAAGTGAGATGGAGGAACCGTGACTAAGCTGAGAACCTGCTTGCATCCCTGCTTGCATGGGCCAGGTATCCAGCTCTGACTGGCTCTGGACACTAATTAACTTATCAAGTTCACCCAGCAGTAGTTAACGAATGCAGTAACTTCCTCTAGTTACGGGCCCGAGGCTGCCCGTAGCCCGAGCTCTTGTACAACGTGCTCTAGAGAAGCCTGCTCTCGGGTTGAAAACTCAACCTGACTGTCTGGTGAAGGTCTCTTGCATTCAAATGCTGTCTCCCTTCCCTGCCTTGGAGGCATTCCCCTGACTTTCTGTTGTGGAGGAGCTGCAAAAATAGGGTGGGGATGAGCAGAAGTGTTACACAAATGCCTGAAAAGGCTGTCCTGCCTCCTGAACTCCAGCTGTGAACCTGCTGACTCAAAACAATACAGCAAGGCTGGAGGGGCCCGGTGAGGCTGCTTCCTCCACTGAAGGTAGGAAGGTTCAAGCCATTTGATACTTGAGAAGGAGGCTGTGCTATTGAACTGCTGCCAGATCCTCTGCTGTGGTCCTTGTCAGCTGCAGGCTTGCTTCCCTGGCCTTTCTGCCTCTTATGCTGCTGCCCTGAATACCGAGGGCTCAGCTAACAGCGCTAGAGCAGGCTGTGTTCTTGTGCTTCGGTGGTGTCACGGGGTGTTAGTAGTACTTTCATGCTGACTCTTCCAAAACAGTCTTGAGCAAGCACTGTAGAGCTAGCGTACCCGTAGCTGGGATGTGGAGCAGGTCAGTGAGATGTGCTTCCTGAGCTGATCCTCTCTCTTAATACAAAGGCAAGTCAGCTGCTGAGATGTGTTTGTCTGCCCACTTATGGGCTTCTGCTGTGCAATGACTTGGTGGCTACCAGTAGCTATTCAAAAGCTTCACGGGTGTATTTAGCAAAGAAATGGAGACACTTGCAGATCTTCAGGTAGGTTCCTCTCCCCCAGCTAGCTGTCCAGGGAAGGTAGGTACCGTGGCCTTCAGGTACCCCATGCAGCCGTCCCTCTGACGGCACCGCGTCTGAAGCCTTGTGGAGAAAGCTGCTCTCCACCAGCACAGGACAGCTGGCAGGAGGCAGAGGTCCCGCAACATCTAGCCACCCTTTAGCATGCTGCTCTGTGTACGCAAAGCCTGCTTTGTTCCACAGCAGCGCTGGGGTTGAGGTGCTGGGTCTTTCTGCCTGTTCTCAGAGTTGGCCACCCCAAACTTTTGGGCTTCTTTCCTAGACAAACGTTATGTTCAATGTCAGGGGTGCCAGACCGCTGCAGAGTGAATGAGCTGGGTGGATGCCTCTGCTGTAGCATCTGAACAGGGTGTAGCAGCAGCAAGATTATCTTAATGGTCATTGGTTGGCTTTCTGGAGACTACCACAGTACGGCAGGGGTCGGATAGCATCTCCCTGGACCACCAGTTTGAAACTGGCTGATGAGATCCTGAGAACGATGCTCCCGTGCCTCGAGTCTTCCCTGCTCCCTGGCGACACTGGCTGTATGGCTCTGCTACTGCAGTGAACTCATCGCACAAGAGCACAGAGCTCTTAACCAGCTCTGAATATTTTAGCAACAACATACAAATGTTCTAGGTCATTCTTGCCTGCACAGCTTCTCATGCATTCGAGGGGAGGCAAATCACAGCTCTGTATTAAAACTGTTTGTTTTCATCCTGTTGTAGGGAACATCTGTCTGCCAGGCTATTCTTGTGGGATCTGTAGTTGCTCTTCTGTATTCCTCAAGGGCTTGTTATAACCTGGTAGCTGTGGCCATATCTCCAGACAGCGTTCCTGGTCCTTTTAACTATGGCTGGGACAACCTTTCAGACAAGGTAAGTGTCCGTGACCCCCACCCCAGAGCTGCTAAAGTGAAAAGCAGTTACCCTGCCGTCCTGTGAGGGCCTGCGGAGGTGAAAAGGGGGCTGGGGGGGGTGTCTGTTTTACTGAATCCCCAGACAAGCTGGCTTTCTGCCTCCAGAAGCCCTGCTTGCTCTATCCACCAGAGCAAACCTGAATCTTCCTCTATCTGGCTACTTCTTCAGGAGGGATCCCCTGTTGTGCTCTTCAATTTTAGCCTGCCAACTCTTCTTTTGGGGGAGAGGAGGAACAAGTTAACTAGAGCAGAAAAGCAATGCTTAATCAGGTGTGGGTGTGCAAGGGAGAGTCATTGGTGTGGGGAGGGAGCTAACAGTACCCTGGCAGCGCACTGATGAGAACTAGCTCACTAAAACCAGTAGCAGGAGTCGGGTAAGGGTCACTATTCTGGTTTAGGGACTCCTGCCTTCATAACGGTTTCTCTGCGTTCCTAGTTGTGTGTGTTGTGTCCAGCTTTGGGAGCTGCGTAGCTCTGCTGATGGCTGGGATTGTACAGAGACTGCAAACTTCTGTCCGCAGGTGCGCGTGGAAGTGAGCGGCGAAGAATACGTGGTGTTCGGCGTCGTCCTCTTCCTCTGGGAGCTGGTGCCAACCACTTTCGTGGTGCTGTTCTTCCGGGCTCAGAGACTGAGTCAGAACTTGGTAGGCCTGTGCAAGTTGCTGTAGCTCAAGTAACCCTGCGCAGGGAGGAGCTCCCGAGTGCCTGGGGTGGGGGGCAGGCCTTTAGGGCGGCTGTCAGAACTGTCTCGCTTCTGGCCTAACTCCTTTCTCTTCAACAGACCCCAGCGGGGATGGTCAACAGTCATAGTTACAGCTCCAGAGCCTACTTCTTCGACAATCCGAGGCGCTACGACAGCGATGATGACTTGTCACGGCTTGGGGCCAGAGAAGGAGGGTAAGCGTTGTTGGGCAAGTGAAAGCACAGCTGAGCTTGGTTTTGTTCCCTTCTGCGGCTCACAAGGAGCTACTTTTATTAGACAGGAGCGGCCAGCTCTGAGAGGTGGATATCCCACTGGATGCTCACGGGTAGAAATGCGCAGTGGCTACAGACAGGAGGCCTCATCTTGCTAGGATCCTTCCTCAGCCCTGGGGGCTCTTAAATGATGGCCAGAGGAGTTTCTCCCCTGCAAAGCGAGAGAGAGGTGGTGAGGTCCTGGGAGGGACGTGGTCTCTGGGAGTCAGCCGGGACAAAGCTCTGCAGGAACGCCTGGTGTGGGTGTTCACAGCAGAACCGTGAGGGGAAACCTGACAGCCCTGGCCTTCACTGGCTGCTCAGGGGTCTGAACTCCGCCTGCCCGGGGTGTCGTGAGGGGTTCAGAGGTTCTGGCTGCTCTTGACCGGTTTGGTAGGGCCTGGTGCTCTTCTCCTGGTACCTGTTTCCTCAAAGCTGGGTTCCTTGGTGATATCGTGCCCGCGTGTCGTAGCCTGCTTCTGCAGGCTTGGATACCCCCATCAGTGCTGGGAGCAGAAGACTTTCCCAGCAGCGGAGACTAGCCGCAGCCAAATTATTCATCTCTAAGGGTCCATGTTTGGTTTTTCTGTCTCTTCTCCCAGCTTGGCCACCCCTCAGTGCTCTGGCTGCTACGGGTCCCTGGCTGGGAATGACAGCTACGCAGTGGGTCCCCGTCTCGGCGGAACCGCTACAGACAGTGCCCCCTTGCTCTTTGCCGCAGGCGGCTCGGAGATGAATAACCACCATAGCTCATACCCTGCACCACAGAACTGAAGAGGCTGCGAGGTCCCTTTCTTCCCAGAAGTGGCATTCATGTATAGGATTGTAACCTGGTTTTCTCTTTCCTTCTCCCCCGAAGCATCTAACTCATCGTCACAAACATTCCACTACCTGCTGCAGCTGTAAGCAGGACTGAGCCTATGGCTGCAGGCGGTAAGCAAGAGAACTGTGACTTTAAGGTACCATGTAGCAAAGTGAAGCTGAACTCTCTGGAAGCTTTTTCTTGGTCTGGTCTTCAAGATGTTGGCAGCTAAATGCACCAGAGCTTCCTCACTAGAAAAGAAACATCAAAATGCATATTTGCACTTTTATCTGCACACTTGGAAGGAATGAATTTTGCTCAGACTGCGCTTGGTCTGAGACTGTTCTAGTTACTCTTTTAATTGCACATCCATAGCTGGGAGAGGCACAGTCTTCCTGCAAAGACGTGGTCTGTGGAGTACTCTGCATCCTGACTCGCTGGGAACGTGAAGCTCTGCTGCCCGAGCGCGGTATGGGCAGGGCCTCCTGCGGCGCGCGCTGACGCATCCCGTGCCATATTGGCAGCCGGCAGGGCTGGTGCCTCTGGGCTGAGCGCGGTTGTGCTCTGACCGCTGGTCCCTGTTTCACCTGACTGCTGAACTGCCCTGCCTAGGGCTGCGGGCTCAAAGCTGAGCTCAAAGCGTATCCTAGCAGAGCCTGTGAGGGTGAGACCAAGTGCTCCTACTGGCATTAAGATCACTACGTTGTAACCAACCCGCTAGCTTGTGGTGGAGGAAGAGGGCTGGCTTGGCCGGCGGCTGCTGTCAAGCGAGGGAGGGGGCAAGACTTTGCGGGCTGCTGCCTTGTGGGAAGGCTTAGAGCTGGAGCTGGCTCAGCCAGCGTGTGCGTGCAGGAACGTGCGCGTGGCCCAGAGCTTAACTGGGGGGTGGCGAGAGCAGTCCTGCTCCCTCCTCCTCCTCACCCATGGCGGGGCTCCCCCTTTCCCCCCCTCAGTATTAAATTGCATTTAGCAGATAACCAGGAGTTGGAACCTGAAGTGAATGTGAAGCGGTGGGGTCCCCGCTGAGGTGCAGGAGGTGTCCGTCTGCTCTTGCAGAGGGAAGTGGTGGACGCTGCGGAGATTCGGGCTCCTCGCTCTGCCCTTCCCTGCCGTGGGGCAGGACCGTGGGCCTGGAGTCCTCCCGCTGCCACAGCAGCTGTGTCAGCAGGGCTTAGCGGTGTACAGGGGGTTTGAGTGTGCTGGGTCAGGCTGGGAGGAGGCTTCTCTGCCTCTCTGTAACTGAAATAGCCAAGTTTGAGCTGGCCCATAGCTCCATCGGGCTCCGGGAGCTGAGGCTCGATGTTATTCCTGGCTTGTCCCTAAGCCTGCTGTGGGGATGAGCAAAGCAGCTTTGGACGCGGGCTTGGATGGAGGCGCTGGGCTGGGGAGGGACCTCTAGTGACGACCTTGAACTGGAACCGCAACTGCTTTTAACCTACCTGGAGCTGTTCCTGCTCTTCAAACCCAAGTCTGACCCCGAAGGACTTCCCTGTGCCTGGCTCGGGGTGCGGGACGCTAGGCTGGGGTCTGGTGCCAGGGCGACCCCGAGGCAGCCTCGGTGGCCACTGCCTGTGAGAGAGGGAGCCCAAGCACTGGGGCAGCCCCGGCCTCTCCTCACTTGCCGTGTGCTCGCTAGTGTAGCCTGGTCACCCCAACACCTGCCTCGCTTGTCACTGGTCACGCTCAAACACCCCGTCCCTCTCCGCGGTCGGTCTCCCGTGCTGGCTTCTGGGCCTCTCCCTGCCAACCCGCTTTGCTCTTGCTGGCCCAAAAACAGGGGAGGCGGCTCCGAGCTGACAACTCCCAGCACCTCCCTCTTGCTCTAGTACGTGAGCCGGAGCTCCGCCGTGCGCGGTGTAAGGGCCCTGTCCCCTCGGCTGGGGCGTGGAAGCGGGTTCCTCCATCTCGGTCACTGCTCGACTTATGGCAAAGCTGCCGGAGGCCCCCGGACGCGGCGCATCACCCTTCTTTCTTCTCCCGCGAGTCACCAAAGACAGTAAGTGACGCTAGTGGGCCCTGTTCTTGCTTAAATTCCAAAGCACTAGGAGCACTTTAAGTTTTTCTTTGGAGGGAAAGGAGTGTAGTGCAAAAAAAAAAAAAAATTAAAAAAATGAGAAATTAAAGGGCTACAAGGCTCATTGTTCATATTGCACTGAAGCACACACCCCCACCACGATCTTCCTGGCATTAGGGTGGCAGGGCGGGGCAGCGAGTCTCCTTGGTACTGTCCTCGGGAGTGACTGGCACAGCGTTTCGGTTTTATTCATTTGTACGGATGGCCGTTAATTTCAAAACTCTGACCGCTCCTGCTGGGGCCAGTCCCCTGTTTTACTGAAGTAATTTATAGCTGAGAAGTACAATGACTTTTTTAATGCATAGTTGCCTTTCATTAAACTTACTTTTTTTTTTTTTTTTTTTGGTATGATTTAACAGTGTTTCGGCTCTGCAGTCAGGCAGCAGCTGGCTGCACCAGGAAGCTGTGGCCAATGAATGTACCTATTTGTTCTTCACTAAACTGTAACCAAGCACTACTATGTTGAAATAAAAAAAAAAAAAAAAGAGGAGTTTCTGTGCTAGGTTGCTGGAGGCCGGGCTGCCTTTTGCTCTCGCCGTGGCCCTGCAGCCCGCCTCGTCCTGGCCAGGGGTGCGTTGGCTCTGCCGGCACAGGCCCCCGGGCACCGACTGCTCTGGTAACTTGGTAAAGCTGCGTCTTGCTGGGCTGAGCGGGTGCTGGTGTGGCTCGCTCCCGTGGGACTGCAGCCTCGCTGCGGGTCCCTCTTCCCAGCACCCAGAGCTGGGCTTTGCCGAGGGTGCTGCGGCTCCCTGTTGCAGTGGTGGGGTTCTGGGGCTGGCTGCGGCCCCGAGGGGTGCGGCGCTTCCCCTTGTCCCCAGCTTCCCCCTTCCAACCACGGCCTCTGCACCCCGCCGCCTTCTGCTACCACACACGGAGCTGCCAGGGCAGCTTGGGAGCCGCTTCAGGGCTCTGTCGTGACCTGCGACCCCTCACAGCCTCCCCTGTGGCACGGAGCTGCGGAGCAGCCGAGTACCCCAGCTCGGTAACTCGGTGCTTCCCTTATTTCCTTGCACCGCTTGCGCGGGTTTAGCGGTCTGGCCTTGAGCTCGCTGCAGGTAGCTGGAGCACACACTTGTCTTCCTGCGCAGCGGCACCCGCCCCCGCAGCGTGTTTTGGGGGGAAAAGCAGCTGGGGGTGCCTGTTCCCCGGCAGCGCTGACCACGCGTGAGCCTGTCCTTTGCCCCTGTTGCGAAGGCGGATGGCGCAATCGGGGCCGGTGTCTCGGCCCTCCCTTTGCTGCGCTAGACGGGGGCTGCGGCTGACCCCGCCACGGCCGCTCTCCGTCCTGCTGCCCCAGCTGCTTGTCCTCGCAGCGGCAAAACTCAGCGTGGCTTCAGCCACCGAGCGCCCCGGCGGAGCGGCAGCCCCGTGGCGGGTACAGCCTTTCCCTTTTTAGCCCCGCCGGGCTACGAGCGGATCCCAAAAGAGGACAAAGCCGCTTTAATGGGCCGCAGGAAGAGAGGCTGGCACTCGGGTGGGGAACAGGGGTGGCTGCTGGCTCCCCTTGCCCTGAGCGAGGCCGCTTCAGGCACCGGCTGGAAGCAGAGCAGCGCTGCAGGGCTCATACCGAAGCTGTTTTCCACCACACCGCCGGTTCCCGACAGCAGCGCAGGTCGGCGAGGGCTGTGCTTGCCCTGCGTCCCCTTGCAGGGGTCCAGCGCTGTCGCTCCCGCAGGGTTCTAGCCAAGACGGAGGCAAGCGGCAGGGTTCCTCCAGCGTGCTGCGTCGTGCTTCGTCTCCCCTTGCCTTCAGCGAGGAAGCGATGGCTGAAGCCCATAGCACGCAGGCAGCGCAGCAGGAGGAACAACCCCTCACCTGAAGAGAGTTTCACCGGGAAGGGAAGGCAGCGTTGTACGGTGGCGGCAGCTGCGGCGCACAGGGGCTCCTGCCATCCCTCGCAGTCTCCTTTAACGCAGCAGAAAGCCAGAGACGCTGTAAGTGAGGGGCTGGTGGCAAGGATGGAATTTTCCCCCAATTTATTCAGTGCCCTACCTCCAGCTGCTGCAGGCAAAGACAGAGGTCTAATCCATCCACACAGTACAGCAAGAGCTAAAGAAGTTATTCAAAATCTTCTAATATACAAAATAAACTTTACATATAGTCCCCGCTTTGATACAAAACCAAAAAGTAGCTCCCCCCCGCCCCCCTTGTACACAATATTTGTCATCAGCAGGTTCCAGACAATCAGCTGGGAAGAGGAGATCCAGCCCGTGGTCTTCACGGTGTAGTGGTTGGGAGTGCGACGGAAGGTGTTTGGCCATTTTTGGAGAACCCAGAACAGCCCAGCAGGCAAGGTTTAAGTCTCTCTTTCTGCCCTGAATTCACCGCATATTTCGTAAGATGTTCCTGAAGTTTTCCAGTTCTCGAACGCTTGTTGAAATCCTGCGTGCAAGGAAAGCAAAAGGGAAACATTAGAGCACCGTACACTTCACGCCTTATTTAAAATTCAAGAGAAAGGGGCTGCTCTCAAGTACAGCTTCGAGCAGCTCTTAGGAAGAGAGAATTTAGAATTTCAGCTAAATGCAGTCCTGGTTACAACCAGGCCCTTCGCTAATTTTGCGGACTCTTTTTAAAGCGAACGCTGAGAAACAGTGGGACGGGCTGTTACAGAGAGCTCAGCAGCGATCAGACAAACCCATTAACCAGAGGTCAAGAAACAGACCATAATATTACCAGCTGCGCAGGCAGGCCGCAGCATCTCCTTGCACTATAAGCTCCTTTCTTCTGCAGGGTGTATTTTGAATCGCCTGCCTCATTTTCTTGTTGAATGCATTTGGCCCCGGGAGCATCAGCAAAGACGCCGGGTGGGAGACTGAGGACATGGCCTGCGAGTGCCCCTTCCGTAAAGGAGAGGTCTGCCATAGAATCACAGAACCGTTTACGTTGGAAAAGACCTTGAAGATCATCGAGTCCAGCCGTTACCCCAGCACTGCCCAGCCCACCACTAAACCATGGCCCTCAGCACCACATCTCCCCGGCTTTTAAATACCCCCAGGGATGGGGACTCAGCCCCTGCCCTGGGCAGCCTGGGCCAGGGCCTGACAGCCCTTTCGGTGAAGAAGTTTTTCCCAATATCCAACCTAAACCTGCCCTGGCGCAGCTTGAGGCTGTTTTCCCTTGTCCTATCCCTTGTTCCTGGGGAGAAGGGACCGATTACTAGGGAGAAGAGACCTTCCCAGCCAGGAGGAACTTCCATTTTAAGGAGGTTTTCAGTAACCCCAATGGCTTGTGAGCAACAAGCAGAAGCTGGAGGTCTGTTTTCAAGGGCTGTTTGAATCCAGCTCGGCAGGACAGGAGGTTGGAGGCTGAGAAGGAGCCGCCTGGGCCCAGTCTGTTCACAGCAGAGGACTTCCAGGGTGCAGTTTTTGCTGGGCAGCAGCAGGGAAGAGGGGAGAAAGGAGGCGGCTCTTTGCCTGCCAGCCCTCAGCAGCCTCCGCAAGCAGACGCTCAGAGTCCGTCAGTCTCTTGCCTGCTGCTTCCGAAGGCTGTGCCGACACACGGCCCTGGAAAGGCGGAGGGAAGCCCAGCTCCTCCGGCCCGAGGGGAAGGCAGCGGCTGTGCTCAGGAGGGGAGCACCACGACATCCCCGGGGAAGAGCATTTGCGGGTTTTCCAAAGGGACTGGTGCGCCTCAGGGCCTCCCCGTCGCTGGCCAGGCGCGCTGCAGAAGGTACAGCCGGGAGGTTTGAAGCGAGGCGCAGCGGGACCCCGAGCTTCAGCACCGGCGGCAGCGTCGCCTGAAGAATCCTTTGAAAAACCCGTTTGCCAGGAATTCCAGGGCTGTCACCGCGGCTAAGCCGTAACGGATAACAGCGTCTTGCAACCTCCTCTCTCTCCTAAAGGCCTCGTTACCCTCCTTCACTGCCAAAAACTCCTCGCCCAGGTCTCCGCAAGTGCTGGACTGCGGGATTCCTGTTTTTGAACGCAACCATTGCAAACAGATGTGGGAACGAACTGGTGGAAGTGGGAAGCTTGAAGGAGAGCTCTAAAGCGAGCCCTGCTCTTGCACAGCAACCCTCGTCTGGGGACGATGCGCTCCGAGGACAGAGTCACAGAGTTTCTTAAAAATCACCACATTCTTTGTATCTTAAAACAAATACTTCCTTAAATTCCTTACAGAAATATAAAGTTGTTGTTTTAAATTGTCCCAACTGTTGCACTCCACATTAACGTCACCTGACATTAATGAGACAGTACGATCAGAGCAGGAGTGAACACCAGTATTGCTGGCGAGAACTGACTGACTGAGCTTAAGCTGTTAAGCTTGTGTAAAAGTAGAGGAAAAAGTCTCAAACTAACCTTCCAAAAGCGTTAAATAAGGCAACGATTTCTTGTCTCGTCAGCTGGAATCCATAGGAAGGGCCGCGTTCAGGTATCTTTTCGATCAGGTTTTCAGAAAAGAGGATCTTCAGCGCTGTACCCAAGCCCTGCGTCTGTGCGTGACAAACGACATCATTTAACAGCGGGGAGACAGCCGAGGCCTGCCTCACAAGTTTGACTTTACTCCCCTCCTTCATCTCTGCGAGGATTCCTGTTGACATCATCTTAACAGAGCAAGACCTGGCTTTCACTTACCGCAGCTCAGAGAAGGGAGCAGAACAGAGCCAGGCTGCTTTATTTCAGTAGCGTTACTGCGACAGCAGAGCTCCCCGGCGGAGGCTCCCTGCCTACCTCTGACCACGCGTAAAATTCAGCGCAGATCTCGCTGAACCCCAATGGATTCACCGCCTACTTTGCAAAGATGTTTCTGATGTTTTGCAGCACCCTCTGCCTCGCTGGCCAGCGGCTCTGCACCCTCGCCCCTCTCTCGGGGAGCGGCTGAAGCAGCGTTAACCCCATTTTCAACTGCAAAGGCAACAGGCAGCTGCCAGCAAGCTGGAGACTCGGCGCGCTCCTTCTTGCTGCCCCGACGCGGTACCGACTCGAGCAGCCCTGATCTGGATCCGGGAACTGACCCGTAGCTAAGAACCACATCTGCGCACCAGAGTCCCATCAGAGGAGGTGCTTCCAGGCACGTCCCCAGCTGCTGACAAAGCTTACCTGCAGCTTCCCCCACAGGCGACATTTGAAGCAGCCAACACAGTCCATTATCTTCGAAATATTCTTAAAGTGCAGCCTAAATTCCTCCTAGGGGAAAAGACATTCGAGTTGATCGTGGTTAGGCACTAATTAGGACTTCTTCCATGTATTAATCCAAATCCAATAACGTATTAATTCTGGACTTCAGGCTAAATTCAGTGGGCCTGAGTTAGGGAAATGCTTCCCCAAGTGGGGCCCTCGGCAGCAATTCACCCCTCTACCCTACGGTCTGCAGTTACCCACAGGGATCCGAACCATTCAGAAAGCAAAACGACTTGGAAATACCTAATCCAGCACCTTGAGCGTCCTGGGGTCCCTTTCAGAGCCAGCATTATCCCAGACACACATCTGAAAACACCCTTGAGGTAGCAAACGCTCCAAAGGGAAGGGCTGACCCGTTACCTTTAGTTTAGCAGCTTCCTTTTTGTTCCCTGCGAAGAGCGAGTTTTCATCGAAATGCAATGGGAAAGACCTGAAATAAAATGAAAAAAGAGTTTTCTCTTTCCACGGCTTGTTGGCACGGCTGCAAATCCACAGAAGTATCCGGACAGACGTATCAGGTTCAGCACGTAAATGAAACTGATAGCTGTTAGACATCGGACAACTCGAGATGTACTTTAAGTCAGGCTGCTTATTTCTTAAATCTCTTGGAGGCTTTCTGTTTGAGCTTGCATCTCACCTTGGAGAGATTTTCAGCAATTGCTCTACAGTTTCTAAGCAATTGGAGTCTGTTTTCTAACAGACGTAAGCACGGAAGGCACGAGAGCGCGACAAGATAAATTCAACCACCGATCGCATGAGGAGACATGCGTTTCCATCTGGTTCCGGGATCTTCCATTCCTCTTACTCCAAACTCTGCCAACAGCCCAAACCTCTCTTACCAAGATGTTTAGGATTTTTTTTTTTCTAGCCAAAAAAACCCACGAAGCCAGGACCGGTATTCCACAGATGAGTCAAACAGGTAGCCAATTTCAGGGCTGACGCATGGGTGGTTATTAAATTCAACGCTGCTAAATCAAAAAGGCGGCCTAGACTATTAAACTGTGGGCTTAATTACCCTGATTTGTAATTTGAATACAGATACCAAGGTACTCCCAGCACTATTACCCCACTGCACAAATCACGCTATCCCCCGACAAGAACGACCCCAGAACCTGCCGTTCTAGGCGCTTTATGCGAAAGGTTAAGCACGCTCAGAGGTGCCAGGGATGAAGGAGCCGTTCTCCCCCGCTACCCGATGTAATTACTTGGCCAAACGGAGAATTTCCAGCAACAGGTTTTTCATTTCGGCATCGTGACGTTTATTCCCCGTGTACAGCTGGAAACCTGGGCGCTCAAAGAACGGCAGCACTTTGGATAGGGCCCGCAGCTCTATCAGGTAGAGAAAATACAGGTTCTTGAGTCTTCTGGGACCTTCCCCTCTGGTGAGGACTTCATCAAACCTCTGCTGGAACTCGGTAACGTTGGGGCCCCATTTCTTCTCTGACCACGTATCTGAGAGAGCAAAAAACCGAAGACATGAGGTGGATAGGCATAGTTCCGGTTCACCTCCTCCCACCATCCCAAGCTGAACGGTGAAGTGTGACTCTAACCAGGGAGATCCAGGCCTTGCAATAGTCACAGCCCTTTTACTAACCACACGTTGTTCAAGAGAGGCATGCTTTTAACCCAACTCAAACCCCAACAAATGCACTACTCCTGCAGAGCTTTGTCAGTTGGTTTAAAACATGACCCAGGCTTACAAGCAAAAGCTAAAAACAAAGACTGCGCATTTTCATAGAATCACAGAATCGTTAAGGTTGGAAAAGACCCTTAAGATCATCGAGTCCAACCGTTACCCCAGCACTGCCCAGCCCACCACTAAACCATGTTACCGGGGAGAAGAGACCGACCCCCCCTGGCTCCAGCCTCCTTTCAGGCAGTTGCAGAGAGCGATGAGGGCTCCCCTCAGCCTCCTCTTCTCCAGGCTGAGCCCCCCCAGCTCCCCCAGCCGCTCCTCCCCAGCCTTGGGCTCCAGCCCCTGCCCCAGCCTCGCTGCCCTGCTCTGGCCACGCTCCAGCCCCTCCATGGCCGCCTTGGGCTGAGGGGCCCAGCGCTGAGCACAGCATTCGAGGGGCACCATCACCTCCCTGCTCCTGCTGGCCACACTGTTCCTGTTACAGGCCAGGATGATGCCATTGGCCCTCTTGGCCACCTGGGCACACTGCTGGCTCATGTTCAGCCACTGTCGACCAACACCCCGGGGTCCTTTTCCGCCAGGCAGCTCCCAGCCGCTCCTCCTCAGGCCTGCAGCGGTGCCTGGGGTTGTTGTGACCCACGACGTGCAGGGTCAAATCAGTTGAAGAGTTTCTCATCAGGTGAGCTGTTTCTGAGAGCAGTTCTGGGTAAGCTGGGGACAGCTCAACATCTGTCTGCAAGTGACGAGGGCTGGGTGGATGTACCAGACAGGCTGTGGAGGTCCCTTTGTTCCTTTGCTCCCACCCACAAAAGCCACTGACTTACTGCAGAGCTCGGAAAAGGTCTCTGCTCTGGTCCGAGTGCCTGCGGAGGCAGACAGTGCAGGCCCCTGATCACGTTGCTCTGGGAAGCAGCGTGGGGGCCCCAGGCTGGGAGGCTCCCTAACAAACAGGCACATCTTAAGAGGATTCCTTCTATTGTGGAAATGCAAGAGAACAAAAGCAGACAAGGATCGGAGGAGACCGGCCTCTATCTTCCCTCATCAAGCCCACAGGTTTCACAAAGAATATTTCTGTTTGCTCATCCTGTCGTGTACTTAAGATTATATAAAGTATGTAGTGGAAGATATAAAGCAGTCATATCAAGCTGATGTATAGAAACAAAAAAGGGAGAAACTTCATCTTCTACATCACCGACGGGTAACCAGCCTGGCGAGAAAGGACTCCGAGCCGAGGCAGGCTCTCTGCAAGGCGATCGCGGCACCTGCAGATGGGAATCCCCACCTGGGCCCCACCTGAGCCTTCTCAGAGCGAAGGGCATCTCCTGTAGCCTTTCACCAACAGAAGCTACCCCCTTCTACACAAACTAAGCAAAGACGCTTTCTTGGCTGTCTGTATCCAACCTTATTTCCCTAATCCTCTCCGCAGTCCCAACTCGTTGCTTGCCTTTGATGTTTCTCTTGTTATTCTATCTCCCAACTCTCACATAGTCTAACTCACATCAAGGCGAGGCCTACGTGGGCCGTAGAGACTTAGATACAATTACTTAGTTAAATCTAAATGACTTATCCCAATTCCAGCAGCTGTCCCTAAATCCATACTTGATTTTTTGTAAGCTTTAGCAGAATAAAGGTGGTAGGCTTGGTCCACAGGTACCACTCTAAACCACGGTGACTGAATCTTTCAGGAAGTCCGGCAGAACCCGCATCCCACGCCGCATGAGCAGCGTGCCGCTGCCCTCAGCCATGCGAGACACACAAACCACGTTTTCACATCACCTTAGATTTTCAACCCTAGGGTTGAAATTTAGATTCTTCAGATAGCTACTTATGGACAAAGGCACGCAAAGGAAATGGAAATGGCATTTGGAAATGGATCAAGGCTCTTGGAAAAGCCCAGACAAGCATTTCAGAGTCTAGGTTGCTAAACTGACCGTCGTAAAGACAGGCTAGGAAGGGACAGCCTCCGTACGCAGTTAGAAACCCACTCCAAAATAACCCTGGAGGAAGAATAGAAGGAATACGTGCTGGAAGTCTTGGTACAGAGCACAGTCCAGCCATTTTCAGACCCAAAGGCATGCGGTAACTGCATTCCTGATTCTGTTATGCAACCCGTGTGCCGAGGAAGGGGAGAGAAGAGCACAGAAGGCGGCCTGAACTCTGCTGGAACAGGCTGCAGCTGGCATTTAGCGGAGCCACGGAAGCATCAATTTAGGACTGGTGCAGGAGAGCTCAGGCAGAAAGTAGCATTTACCTTGTAAAAGGTACCTGGCGCTCAAATGGATGTTGATGCTTGCGTGGAGACCAGAAATGAGTTTGTAGAAAGCTCGTTTCTCTACACAGACACCTGAAAAGACATGGGCACTTTAAGATACTGAAAGCATACGTTGAATTTTCCTCTCCTGGCTGTCAGACAGAAATCTAATCCCACCTCAGCATGGCCAGTAACTCCCACCCACTCCCTGGCCGTTTTGCCTTCATCCCAGGAAGAACAAGCGAGTTTAGGAAAAGGATTACCTTTCAGCCACTTGTAAAACGTATGCCCTGGAAACAAGAGGAAAACAAGCACGTCAGTGTGAGATGCCTTACAGCAGCAGGAAGGCTTTAACACACCGTGTCATGTTTTAGGCCACACCTTTCAGAGCACAACAGGGTGATACAGGAATGAGACAGGGCAGCACCCTCCCCTCTGCCGCACAGGGGAGGGTGCTGCCCAAGCCTGATGCCCCGAAATCACCTCTGAGGCCAGCCCTCAGAGGACCTCCGCCCACTCCCGTTTGCAGAAGCAGGGAAAGGAGCATTAGAAGAGCATGAAAATAGTTTCCCTCCTCACCCTTCTGACTGATGCTCCTACAACACAGCGTGGCACCAGCTAAACACAGGACGTGGTCTTTCCCACCCATCTCAGCAAGGGCTGGGCAGGCAGCAGTGCTGCAGAACAGCACAGCGTGAGGGGAACAAGGATCACAGATTGCTTTTCTCTTCTGGCCGGGGTGGGGAGAGGGGTATTTTTATTAAAAAAACCCAACCAACAAACAAACAAACCCCACACAGTGCAACCAAGTGTGTACAATCACACAAGTCGGTGTTTCTCACTACCCCTGCTACACGCTTGAAAGTAGTCTGGAGGACATAAAATGATTTGGAGGTAATTTGGAGACAAAGACATGCTGTATACACAGGCCCAGGGCTGCAGAGGGCAAACAGCGCCGGGGCACAGCCCTTCCCAGATGTGAGCCCTGCAGGACCTAAGGGAGTTGGGCACCCAGCTCCTACCAGCTGTCCGAGGCCGTTGGGACTAGGAGTCTTGTCAAAGCTCCAGCCTGAGAGCTGCTTTCTCAGCAATAACAAGCGCTGAAAAAACCCACAATACAAGTGCTGTTCCTGAAGCCTTATGACACTTCAGCGACTACCTTCAAACAGGACTTGCATGCTTAAAAACCTGCTGGTGCTTTTTAAGGCCTCCGCACAAGGATGCCTCAGGGACAGGGAGCTCAGAGGGATCTCTCCACAGGGTCCTGAACACAGCAGAATTTCAAGACAACTTCTGATTTTGCCTGCATAATGATTTCGCTAACCAGGTGCGTTATCTAATGGTACAGCTCGTGACAGCGTGATAAAGACGCCGCATTTGTTTCTGTTCTCAGTAAAAACAGAGTGCCACTCACCTCCATCATCTCCTGATGAAGAAAGAGCACAAGTGGTGGAAGGAGAGAAAAGAAGAGATTAAAAGTTACACATGACCAAAATTAAAATCCTTAAGATTGCTCTGTTAATCTGCTCTGACAAGAGAGCGAGCCTCTCTCCAGGGAGGTTTAGAAATGTTCTGAACACAGAAAACATCATCTCAAACTGCAGTGAACACAGCAGATGAGCAATGCTACTGAATAACCGGACCAATGCAGGAGGGATCAATATTTGCAAAGGAAGTAAAACCACCACATAGCCGAAGCAGAGACCAGAAAACAGGGGACACAGGGGTCTGTCTCTGCCAGGGATCTCCTGTATGACCTCCGACAGGATACTCAAGGACCCCATCCCTGTTCCCTGCCGTTTATCAGTCACTTGCAACAACTCTCACAGATATCAGGTCAGATCTTCTATTTTCATGTCATCCTGCTTCCTCATCTGCAAAACAGCAGTCCCTTCCTCTCCCCTCAATGTACCCATGTCACTTCCTTCAGATCTTGCCCTAAACAACAGAGGTGGTGAAGGGAAGCGCTGATATTTTAAAGGACATTGTACATTTCCTTCACCAGTGCTGCTCCTTTGCACAAGGGTCAAGGGAGGGGGGAAAGCACCCACACAAGACATCACCCCAGAGGGTACTGCTGGAGCTGTGTCCAGGTCAAACGAAGGGGGAGTGAGGCTGATGACGTTCTAGATGTCTGGGCAGGATGGGGCATCAGGAGACACGGGGTCCCTTAGCAGCCTTGGCCAAGCAGCTCTTATGGTTCCAAAACCTGTCCCTACTTTCATTTACACTGTCCAGCCTTGGCCTCTAGGGCAGAGTTTCTCTTGCTGGATGGTTTCCACAGAGGATCCCAGCCAGGTTCTCATTTCAGTCTGTCACAGATGGTTTGGCATTGCCAAGTACAGAAACCAGGGACCCAGGAAGAGCTCAGGGTTCAGTCCTGCTCCCACTCCCTCCAAAGCTCACATTTCTTCCAGGAGCAGAAGATCAGACTTCCTTTCTCCATGGCAGATGCTAGAAAGCCACCCTTCCAGGTGCCCTTGCGTTAGCCATAAAATTCTACGCTTCATCAAGAGCTACAACATATTTCTCATTCAGTAGAAGTAGCTCAGAGAGCATTTATTGTTCCTGGAGCTAGGATCAGTACACCACTAAACCACTTAGTGAGATAAATAAATGACTCACCTCTACCAGATGCCAAAGGTCTTTTTACATTCTGAGGCCTAAGAGGGGGGGGAAAAAAAAAAAAAGTCATTTAAATAAGGTATGTAAATAAGTGACCGTCTCCTTGCTGCGCAGAAACACAGCACAGCAGAAGTAGTTACTTCTCTGCAGTCACATAGCCTAAGGAGATCCAAGAACCCTTCTGTGCTTTAGCTTTGCTCAGACAGGAAAGGGGTAGAGTAAAATGTGGCTTTTTTTTTTTCCCCTTCTTTCTTTAGAAAGAACAGCTAGGAAAACTCAAGTGTCCCCAGAGGGGCTAGTGGACATTATCCCACAGCCTCGGCGCAAGACGATACACTAGTACAAATGGGGATGAAATCACTGGAGAGCTCAGAGCAGGCAAGACTATAGACCAGTGCCCACCAGTACTGTGCATCAGCCCCAGGGGTACCCATGGCAGAGTTCAAACTGGGGAGGGAGCTCCCTGCAACGGCCAGGGAGGACAGGACTGTGTGCCCAGGACCCCATCACACACCAGCTGTGCACCCCCTGCCAGGCCGCTGTCTCACCACGCTGCAGGGCTTACGGCGGGAGCCTGCACCAGGGCAAGCTGTGGTCCAAAGAACAGCCGAGGGGGCCTCACGGGGCAGCTGCACGGCTCGTCCCCTCCTCTGGCAGCCCACACTGCACAAGCGTTGCAGCACAGATAGAAGGACGGGGATTAACCAAGCAGTTAAAGCACACGCAGCCCCTCTGCAAAAATCAGTGCCTGCAGGCTTGTGAAACCTGTCCCCCAAAGCACCTACTTGAAGCAGTTTTCTTCGTAAATACTGTTCCAAATTTTCCAGGCATCCGGTCCTTTGTAGCCAGTATAGCGTTCGGGATTCAGGAGTAAATCCACGTACTCTGCATCAGGAGAATAGATGTCTGCGAAGCAGAGTGCTGGGTCAGTGACAAAAACTTCTGCAGGAAAATGACAGCATCCAAGGCCGACCAGCCACCCCCTCGCATACTGAAGAGTCTTGCCAGCAGAGAGACCAGCTTGTCCCTCTCCCGAGAGGCAGGTGCATAATATCTGCTACACATCAACCCACTGCAGCGGGGCAAAGCTCTCTGGCCTTCAGAGCTATTGGAACGCAAGGCCGCTGATGGCAAAGCGAACTCTGAGCGTGCCCCATCCAAGCTGCTAACGTGCTAAACACGGCAAGACCCTGACCAGCAATGAAGCCTTGTCAGAAAGATTTGCATCATATTATTTTCAAAATACTGAGGGCGGGGGGGTGGAAAAGAGAAGAAATGCTATATATGCTCCAGGCTTGCTGAAATAGTACACATTGGCCTGAAACTTCTGCAGAGGTGCTTAAAATCCCATGACAAGACTTGTCGGATCAAACATACCATCAGCTTCGCAGAAGCTGTCTGAGGCGTCATCGTGCCGTGTCCACTGGAGCACTGCCTGCTGGGCTTCCTTGCTGCAAAGAAAGTGGAAAAAGAGGATTAGAAAGAGCACTGATACTAAGTTCCCTTCAAGACAAGTAAGGATTGTGGAAAAAGAAATCAAACCTCAAAGAGCCATCAACAGCTCCAAGTCTCTTGGCTTCTTCACATTCTTCAGCAAGGTTACTGGCTTCTTCCGAATACTGGGTCAAAAAGCAAAGGGATGGGGAAAGAGGAGGATTAAAAAGCAGTTTTTCTGCTGTTATAATTCTGCCTTTAATGCACTAACCAGTTTAAGAATCAGAAACACTTTTATGATTCATCCCACCCCGTATTTCCACAGGATGTCTGCAGATATTCAGAGGCTTATGCAATTGTGATGATCGTTGCAGGGACTCAGAGCAGCCTCCGGCACTGCCGCAGGAGCATTTTGTGCTCTTGGAGAAGTCTCCTAAACTGCTCTGCGTTAGTGGAGGGGAATACCTGACTTCAGGACAGCCACCTCAAAGGCTCTATAGCACGCCAAACACTTGAAGAGGGTAAAAATTTAACCACAAAGCACATCCCGACAAATACCGCCCATCTGATTAAGGCAGCTTTTATCCGTTGCAGTGACACAAAACTGGTCCTATAAGCTGCATCATTTCGTGCACGCAGGCACGCCTACCTTGTAACTTCCAGATCTGATTCCATCAGGGACTTCATCCTGAAAGACAAAATTGAGCACGTGCTCATGTGGGGCTGATGAAGCCTTTCAGCCTCATCTTTGAGAAAGACTAGGAAGGCTACCACCATTTCTAGAAGGTAGAAGGTAAATCAAAGCACCCGGCTTACAACACATCCAATTTCTGGCTCCTCCGCAGACTAAGGTTATGCAATATTCTTGGTGTTTTATTTTGATTTTTCACAAGACTCCTCCAAAGGCCAGCAGCCTTCCACGGGTGCTACGTCAGGTTATGTTTTGCTTACCCAGGCCTGAGGTTGGGGAAGCCAACATAAACTTCAGAGGAGCTGGAGTTGCCTCTGGTCAGCTGATGTCTGGCATCCTGTCTCCCGGTGATGCCGGCGCTCCTGGCAGGAGCCCAGGCGCCTCCTCAGATGTTGCAGCTCCCAGCCCCTGACACACGTCATTCAAAAACTTCCCTCTTACCACTCCATCACATAACATCAGGTTTGCCAGCCCCACGCAACCCCAGCAGCACACACAAGACAATCAGGCCCTAAATTCTCCTCAACTTCCATTTC